TATATATGTATATATTTATATAGTATTGTATAAAAGTATAAAATTCTTAAAAATATCGAGTTTTTATTCTTTTAAAAATTCTGTGTAAATTCATTCACATTTATGATAATTTTTCAATTCCAAATAGCCGGAACACACAACTTTAATTTGGAGAAAGACTGTGGGACAGGTGGCAGTGGGCTCGGTCTGGGTACCAGAGTGCCATTACCTCCAGGTCGGATAACTGGAAGCGCTAGTATTGAAACCCTTGTAAGAGTTGGTATTGAAAAGGAGAATGGACTCTCTCCGGACAGTAAGATGGTCATTGTGCATGACTTTACTCCCTGCGTGGACGATGAACTTCAAGTCAAAAGAGGCCAGGTTAGCGACTGATTGCATTGTTCTCAGATCTATATATTACAAGCGGCATGCTATCTATATTCCATATGTAGCAATTTCTAATACATGTAACCTGCATGTCTCCTTTTAACTCAATTTTATTTTAATTTGTCAAGAGTCGTCATTATTTTTATTTAAGTCTTTTTTATCTTCTCTTTTGCTTGCATAAAAATTATACAAAACAAACATTAAAAAATTATATGTTCATTAAAAAAAAGATAACATTAAGGAATCTTTACATTTCAGGTAGTAAATGTGCTTTACAGAGAAAACGATTGGGTATATGTAATAGCAGCGGACACGCGTATGGAAGGCTTCGTGCCACATTCGTATTGCGCACCATACACATCGCAGCTGGCGGAATTGACGCTGGCCAACCTGAACAACGTGAAGAAGAAGTTGCCGCGGTCCAATGAGAATGACTGCGATCTTCTTAGTGCGGGCCGCCTGCAGGAGGCGCAACAGACCGATACCGGATCGGCCTCGGATTGTGAAAGCTACGCACGAAATAACATTATTACCGCGGATGTCAACGTCAATCGCTCCAACATCACGCAGTCCCAGAATTCTATACAGACTATATCGTCCCAACCAGACGTACACCCCTTCTTCAAGGTATCAATTGATTAGCCGAATGCCATAAAAATACCCTATTCCCAATTCAATATGTTTCTGAGTTTTTACTTGACATCCAGACCAGATGGGTCTATTATATTGAATCCACTCAATTCTAAATCTCTCAGAAATGTGAAACAATTCGATTTTCTTTATGTTACATTTGTAAACTCTTTTTTATGTCATTTTTAGTCCTTAAAATTAATCAGTGCTTTTTAATTAATAAATTAAATACCAATTAATTTCAAGGAATAAAAGATATAACATTATATTGTAAACCCTGTATAAATTAAATAGCTCACAGACTCAGCATCAGTAACTGTGTCACAGATTTTGGTTTCGACTTCGGAGGATTAAAATTTAATTAAAATCTTTCCGATATTAAAAATTTTTAATTGATTGAGTAAAATATTGGCACTTGTGAATTAGGTATAGTATTTTTTTAATCTCGTTTGATTCATCAGCGAGAAATTCTACCGTGCGTCCCACAGGATCCATCAGCCGGAAGATACATTGTTCTTTACACCTTCGTGGCACGAGACGAAAATGATGTTAGTGTCGAGAGAGGCGAGTTCGTAACCGTGTTGAATCGCGACGATCCGGATTGGTTTTGGGTGCTCCGACATTGTGACGGCAATGAGGGTTTTGTACCGTCCGGTTTCGTTTATCCTGGTCACGTTCTTCATTCTTATGCGACAGCCACTACGACGGCCACCACTGCCTCTACAAATGCAGCATCCACAGACGCTCATAGTCCAGGTTGGCTCTTTGTTGAACCATTACATCATTCAACCGTTAAATCATCTCTGGAAAAGTTTTCTAGAATATATATGTCAATGATAGGAGTTCTGCAACTTCTAATAGCTAGGACTACATTTGTTATCAATCTTTTATAATTATCGATTTAACAGTGTTCGTCTTGCAGATAAAGGTACGGGAGGCGAGTCGTTACAACAAAAAGGAGTGCGAGATTTCCGGGATGAAACGACCGGTACGGAATTAGTGGTGCTTTACGATTACAAGGCACAGGCGCCGGACGATCTATCGGTGAAACGGGCCGATTGGATATACGCGGATCTGGGAAATCAAACGGTGGATGGTTGGCTCTGGGCTTACGCACCCAAGACCCGCAAGTACGGTTTCATTCCTAAAGCGTACGCGCGGCCCCCTGCCATGACTAGCTTATAATTCGAACTGTTAGGGAAGGAAAAAACTCGCTTGACTTTTTTAAGTAAGCCCGCAATACTGTCTTTTGTATCGTCCTTTTATATATTGTGTGTCGTGCAAAGTATGTGCAAAGAGAGAGATAATTAATGTTTTATTTAAATATGTATGTACATCAGATTATTAGCCCGGATGATGCAATGGAAAAATGAATTTAGCTGATTAGACTAAAAGATGAATGATATTTTTAAGAAATAAACGAGAGATTATTGCGCGATACAAGATGCAATTTTTTTCAGATCTTCCATTCGCTTTGCCCACTTTTCCTGTATGATCCCAATTTATATTGGATGGGCTTACATTTTTAAAATAGTTATTTCAGAAACAAAGACATACGTGTGTTAGAACACATGTTTAATGTACAATAACATTTACATTGAGACTAGTACAGCCGGAGGTGATATGGCTGATTAATCCTTCGTGGAGAACTATACAATCACCAGCCAAGAAGACGTCACGTGGACATTGGGCGATTCTCAGGGACGTCACAGGGCCTGTATACGTGAGCGAACGAAATCCCCCGTTCTCGATGCTATCGACCGCCTGTTAAACCATTCAAGCGTCATTATTCATCTTTAAGCACTGATACGTTTTCGTCTTATACACACAAATCGATCTGGCGAATACCTGAATGCTACACCGAAGTCTGTCAGCCGTGTCGCCGACGTCTAATCCCGCCACCCAGGCAATGATCATGTCCTTCTCGCACTGGCCTTCTCCGCCAGCGTGCATCTCCTCACGATACGCGTAATTGTGGCTGCTGTGCAGACGCGCTGCCAACACCGGAAGAGGCAATCGATTCCGATACTTAGGATTTATTTGAATGCTACCGAACAGTCTCGCTGAGGAATCTCTTATTGTTACAAACATTTCTGCGATTAGTTAAGTTAGACACGTTTATAACATTAATTGCGAATATTGTACGGTTTCATCTAAGAAATTTCTCTGTTTTAATTTTAAATCAATCGCAAATCAACTTCTTATTCGATGTTTTTTTTTATTAAAAGAGATCACTTGTTTTAGGAAATAAGAAATAAGGAATTAGGAATATATATCGAATGCACCTTTGTGCAATGTTTAAGCGACAGTACTATACTAACGAGAGTTTTCCGGACACCAGTAAGAGAGCTAGACATCGACTGGAGTTGCAGGAGAGAGCTCCGTAGCTGACGATAAGTGTGCTCTCGGCGCCGGGTTCGACACTGAGGATGGGCACTTCGGGATGATCGAAAAGAAAGTGATGGGTGAGTGCCGAAAAGGCGACGTTCACCGAGCAGTCTAGACGTGGGCAACGTATAGGTCTGCGGGAGCAATCGACCAAAGAGGGATTTTTGATTTTGATCTCGGAGGAGTATCGATCCACCGCGCCATTTCTCCTTGTCATCGTTGTCATTAGATTGCAATAGCCAGGCTGCTGTTGATACTGTTTCCCGCAACTTTCCTCTCGCCGCAGATTGCCTCGATCGCGATCAGCGACGTATGAGACTGCATCCGATTCGTAATCTAACGTTTCGTTATTCTCTTCGCCGGGTACCGCCTTATTGAAGTTGCAAGCCCACTGATTGCGATGCGAATCGTACATTCTCGAATGTATGTTGCGATCGCTGTCTCTACCTTGGAAGAAACTCGTGTGTGATCTTCGAGGCTGAGGATGCTCCGCAACTAAAGGATATGTCTCATTTCATACAATATTTAATTTTTATCGAAAGCGTGACGATAATTAATCGCACGTGCCAACTGATTAATTATCGTCACTTGAGTCATTATTTAGAAATTTATAAATGCTTAGATTTTCTAAAAATTTTCCTACTTTGGAATATTGATTTCTTTCGCCTCAAAAGAGATAAATATTTCAAGGCTATCTAATTAGAGATAAGAACTATCTAATTAGATATAAGAGTTACTTTAATTCGTTACTAGAATATATAGGTTTTAGTGACTGTGAAATATTTTCCTAATTTTTAAATAATGTAATGATTTGGAATAATTTTATGTTCCATAATTTTATTTTTCACAGTTTTGTTTTACTCATGTAAATTAATTGTTGTGCTATATTTATGCAAAGTTCAAGTATTGCTACATTTTTTGAAAATTTTAAAACTTCTAAAAATAACAAAAAACTTAATGCCTTATATGACTCTTTAGCAAAACACAAAAATATATCATGTTACGAGTTAAAAAGACTATTATTACATATGCTGAATATATATAATATGTTGTACAAAAAATTTTTCAAAAATCTCAAACTTCCTTTGTTTAGGTCCCTACATATATATATTAGTAGTTATGATGAATATTTTATTGACCTGGTCGGATTGAAAAGTTTCGTACACAACGTTGACATAACGAATAGCCCTCGGAACAGTGTGGATCCTGTTCGGAGTTGGCGACGGTTCCGCCGAGATTTGCGTCGTTGATGATAATATGACAAATCGCGCACTGTTCAATCTGCGCAGTTTTCTGCTCATTTTCATTCACTTCGTCTTGGTTTGTATCTACTTTCTGAATTTTTCCATCTTCCTCTTCGCTCCGATTTTCATCAATTTCCCGTTCTTCTTCTTCTTCTGTTTCATCCTCCGTAGCCTTGTTAGAGAATTCCTTCCTTTTTTGCATTCTGTTTTCATTATCCGAATACTTTCGAACGAGATAATTTAATCCCTACAATGCGAGATATAGAGATAAATAAATAGATATATCTTTATTTAAACGACAAGTCCAGCGTTAATTTAGCAAAATTGCCGAGAATATTCGAGCGAACAAAATCATTAATTAAAAAAAAATTCAGTAGTATATTGGCTTTCGCAAATAAATGTTAATATACTAATTAACTGCATATTTATCATACAGTTAACATCGATAAACAATATTTATAGCAATTAAATTTCGCAAAAAATAGACATAGTCTTTTTACAAAATTTACTCTTGTCAAACGAACTATGCTCGTGGTTATAATTGATGAGAAAAAAATATACTAGATTGCATTTACGAAAGTTATATAAAAACATATAAAGGATGTATAATCTCTTTTTATCGAGTAAATTTTGTGATAAGCAAGTGCAATTTGCGTCTTTGTTGTCCACAGTCTCGTGCGTACAGATATCACATGCCTTGCGATGATTATTTGTCACGCGGCCGTCGGCTTTGGCGGCTTTATAATCAACCCTCTCGTTGTCCATTTCTTCGTGAAGCTTCGTCGACAGTTCTTATCGCCGTCTTGATAACCTTTCGTCGATGACGTGTGTGTCCGTAATCAGTCGATTTTCGCCACGAGCGTCTAACATAACATACGAGATTGCAGTTTCCGGTGTCTGAAACTTAACTTGCATATGTCATGCAAAACATATTTATGAATGTACTTTTTTTAATCTTTCATAAAATTATTGATAATTTCATGTTTAATGATGTACATATCATTATCACATTTTCTCTTGGCGACTTTGTTATTTTTTACATTACGTATCTCTGTAACTTTAGCTAAAAGTTGTATCAATTGAGACTAATTGAAAATACCTTTACTCGCTATTTTATTTTTAGATAACTTATCTACTTGAGTTTGCTAATTAACTCAAAATTACGCAAACAATTTATCATTAAGCATTGCATGTGTTATTATTGCATTAAACATTATACTGATTATACAAGAAATGACCGACTGCTTATCGACGAGCTTACCCAGATCCAAGGAACTAATTTTCTCTCCTTAGCAATTAAGTATATTTTTACGGAATTTAAAGAAGAAATATATTGTAGAGAAAGATGAATCTTTTGAATTTCCGAAGTGATTCGTGACACAATAAATTATTCGACAACCGATTGAACTTCAATTGACAAACGTTCTCGATTCGCTGTAATTTAGTTCAAGAGAATTTACATTCGTCAGAGCCAGAAAATGCTCGATACGCCACGGTATTTAGATCAGATGTAAGGCCATCTTGACGTCTCTCGGAACAAAGAAGAAACAGGTCGCAACGATATCAGTGTAATATCGTTGCAAGAAAATTCGACGCCCGATTCATCGTGCTTTCCTCCCGCAGGTCTTAAAATCGTTCTAAACTTAATTTATATAGAAGTTTGTTTTTACATCGGCAAAACGATACATGATATAAAGCCATTGACCTTTAGCTCGTTGTACAATCGATGCGCTCTGCCTCGATATCTATCTGTTTGTGCGAAAAATGTCCGATATGTAGATATCTGTTATCTATGATACAGCTATATTTTCTGTATTTATGAATTAAAAGCAGGCCGATAACCGTCGAAGCTTTTACATTGCGCTCATAGAAAAGCGTATCTCGCAAAATAAAGTTAATTTTCTTATACTAAATACTATGATAATAATCACTGGTCGCGTGAATAAAGTACACATGTAAATGCTTGTTAAGAAACACGTGTTTTATTAAAAAAGCACATATTAAAAGATTAGAAAATAGTAAACGATACGATGCGTACATCGCCTGGTCGGTTTTTAACAGGTATATGCCTAATTGGAACTGTGTGAGCGTAGATTTATATTTAATTAATCGTGCTGATACCTCAATATGATCACATTCTTTGATCGCAATGCTGTGATTACGTTTTGATACAAATAAACTATTAATATCTAACTAATTCGCGACGATTTATATAATACATATCATTAATTAACGTTGCAGCATATATTTAATAACCAGCTGCTGAATAATCTGCAGCAAAAACTACAAAAGTGTCTTTTGCAACTCCTCGAAAACGATTGTTGTTAAAGCTATATTGCTTCCGTTGCAACATTTAATTTTCCGAGTTTTTTATGAACGACATTAACAAATCTCTACACACATGTTAAACGCAGAAATCACTTATCCTAAGCGACTTATTTTATCGCATTCTTGTACTTATTTTTTAACATCGCCCGTCTTTGTCTCCGGACAATCGCTGACCAGCTTGTGTCTCACGTTCGCTAATCTTTCCGCGCTAATCGTCTGTATATTACTCAGATGAGGAGAATTTTCCAGCAGCGTCTTCAAGTTTTGTTTACCGCTCAAATTGATCATGCTACTACTCTTGCCTCTAAACGCTGATAACGCGGACGTTTGTCTGAAGAGCGATAATAACGGTAACTCTTTAATACTGGTGGTTTTGCTCGCAAACCTCTTGGAAATTGAACCTTTGTCGAGCTGGTCCGCACTTCCAGTATCAAAAGATCTGGCGGACGATATTAATAAATTCTTTAATTTTATCGGACTGGAATTGGCACTGCATGGCGCACTTTTTTGCAAATTAGAGCTAGATTGTGACTGCAACAATGCGACATCACTATGCGAGCTCTTCGAATACTGGCTGATAACGGGAGCCGCTACGACATGATGTCTCGATAAACTAGATTCCTTAGGCAGGAACTCGATATTAGAAACTTGCGCGACATGTAAATTCGTAAGTTGTATGTGGCTCTTATTGACTAAAGTATCGTTTGTATTACTACAGTTATCTTTTTCAGATTCTTTATTCGTAACATTGGCATTATAAGGGATATTAATGTCCCAGCTGCTCTGCGTTTTTCTATCCTTAATATTGAATTGAGAGATTTTGTTTGGCACGTATTTCGATATATTTGCGCTTCCCGCTGAACCAATGATCTCGAAATTAGACGTACCTGTATTTACTGGACTATTGTTCAACGATTTTGAAGTATTGCTCTTTGCCAACGTTGATGTACCGCGTAACGCTGTCGTTGAATCAATCGTCGAGCATGATTTTAACAAGTGCGGTCTATCGCTAATTCTGCCCCTTTCGATAGTGCCCGGACTTTCAATTAATCTTGTAAATTGATTTGAAGTACGCGTGTTAGACAATTCAGATAAGGAATTGTAGCACGTCCCGTTCACGGTGCTGACTTTAATTGCATCCTGCAATTCGGAAGAACTTTGTGCGTCGCGCTTCTTAATGCGCAACGAATTCTCGATCGATAAACGATTTAACTTTTCCATACTGGTTTGTAATTCGAGCTCCCATTGTGTGAACTTACTCTCGCTACCGTCAACGGATCTCTTATCAAGATGTTCCATGTCGTTCTTTGTTAAACAAGGCTTCTGTAAATTATAGATAAATAATAAAAATCAACATTTAAATGCTTTATAGCCAAGATTTATCATTACATATATTACTGACCTCGATATCATGTAGGTTTTCGTTGTTCTCGTTTTTATTATATCTAATGGGAGATATTTTACGACTATCAGAATCATTGAACTCGCTCTTATACTTTTGGTGCATATCTGAACCAATGAGCTCGGCACCGACGCCAGGTTCTCGCGGTCCATTAGCCACAATATCTAGAATATAAATGTAACGTTTATAAAATAAAATAAAAAGTTGTTTTACATGTCTTTAAAATATATTTCTCCGTACCATAATCTCTTCGTTGCTGATGAATCTGATTACTAATTTCTTCCAATGTTCGGAGACTTGTTGCATAATTACATTTGGTTTCCTTAACAGCTTGTTGCAGGAATTCTACTCTCTCCTTCTGCGTAGCCAACATTTGATCACACTGGGTCTTCATCTCAAAGTACGGTCTCGCTTTTACTATTGCATGTCGGTGTTTTTCCTCCAATTGTAGTAGCTTCTTCTCGGCGTCATGGAACAACATCGCTTTTCTGTGATGTTCTCGACCGCACTCCGCTTTTTGATTCTCCGCATCCATGACCTACAATAAAAAGTATCATTTTATATTCTATTCGTTACATTAAACTTTTTTTTATTAGAAATCGATTATTGAATTAATTAACGAGGGGCGGCCTGGAATAAATAAGATATAATATCAGGATATTTTTTAATTGTTTCGCAATACTTTAAAAGGAAATTACACGATCATCATGCTATGCATTTTACATTTATATTTACTTTAATAGTCGCATGATTGAGCATATCCTGCCATGCCTGGTCAAAATTCCACTCATGTTGATGAGACATGAATCGCGCTTCGGCCAGAGCCACTGTTTCCTTTGCCGCTGCGTGAATTTCGCTGGCTCTTTGAAACAGCTGCGCCTGTTGTTGACATTGCACCTGCAAAATCGCAAGAGGAAATGTCTCATTGATTCACTTACATGACACTTCAGCTAATTGTCACGCATTTAACGTATTTAATGCAAAACAACTAGCGTTTATAATTTGCAATATGACAAATTATTTTAAACATGAGATATTATATTCAGACAATGAAGTGATCAGAAATTTCTTGCCATTATATATATATATATATATATATATATAAATGTATGAAAATTGATTAATAAACTGTACTAAAGCAAATGATATAATACAGATAAATATTATCTTATATTTATCATCATTATAACTTTTAGTATATACTGAGTATATAAAACTTTATTTTAATTTCAAACGCAATTCATGTTAAACCAGCACGAATGGAATTCAACTGGACATAGCAGGATATGCTCATTCATGCTATTATTAAAGCAGGCATCAGAGTAGAATGCATAACGAGCGGTAACATGCTACATGTTCAATAACAATTGACTATGAGAGCATTGTGAAGCATTTGGAGCCATTGAGAAAACATTTATTGAATTGGCCAAATATTATCTGAATTTTCTAATATTTTATATAAACTCAGTATATACATTTTATACTTTATTTTTTATTTTATGATTCAATAAAATTAAATTTCATTAAAGATCTGTTTTTTATAGCTAAACTAGTATACACTTTCTGTAGTTAAAGTGAAATATATTTAAAATTTAGTAAGAGAGAAAAGGAAAATTCTAGTGTAGGAATAAAAAAAAACTCTAGGTCTCTACCTGAGCTTGATGAGCCAACTCTAGTGCTTCGTAATAACATCTTGCCTTCTCGATGCAGCTAGTGCCCAGTTTATCCGTAATTTCTTTCAGTCTCCTTGTTGTATCCGAAAGAAGTTGTCCAAAAGCAGTGTGAGCTTCCTAAAAATCAATTAAGATCAAATAAATATTACATACAATGTTAATTTTCAACTTATAAAACAAAATACTATTTCTTACATCCAATTCAGTCTCCAATTTATTAATATTATCTGCTGCATTGTTCAAGTTCTCCAGCTCAATCTGGAAGACAAAAATCCTATAAAAACATATTATTTATACACTATATTATACATAATTTATATTAATTAAAATATCAAAAAAGATCATGTCAGTACAAATTCTTCTGAATTTTTTCAATTAAAATTTAAATTATATGTTTTATGTCATAAGCTTTAGAGTTAAAGATCGCTATTTTTAATTATTGTGATTATTTATTTGTTAGTTGCAATATTCCAATATTCCATGAAAAGGAAGATATTATTTCAGACTAAATTATTACCTAAATTAGAAATTAAATTTTTTCACTACAGAAAAGAGAAAATACTTTTCCTTATTAATTTCTCTTTTTCAGATATAATACCACAGGAAAAATGAAACAAAGCAAGAGATGTCTCGAGAGTATCTTTTCCCAATCGTCTCACATCTATTTAAAATTTAAATTATACATTGCATGCTGTAAGTTTCAGAGAGTTAAAGATTGTTACTTAATTACTGTTATTTTTATGTTAATTATAATATACCAGTATGCGAAAAGAAAAAAGAGGTATACTTCACATCTAAATTCAGTTATTTTATTATAGAACTAGAGAAAAGAATACTTTCATTCATTTATGCTGACATCATTTATTTTTCTTTTCAAATATAACAGCATCAAAATGATAAAAAAATATTTATAAATGATAAAGAGAAAAAAGTTATTTCAAGTTGTGCATGTGGTTAAATTTAATTATTTTATTATAAAAAAGAAAATACTTTTATGCTTATATAATTCATTTCTCTTTTCAGATCTATCACCAAAATAGAAAAGAAAGAA